AATAATTTATTTTTGGTTTAATATTATAAATTTTATAAAGATAATAATTAAGTATTATGTTAGAATTCAATTATTATCTTAGTTATATTTTAGATTTTTCGTATATAAAATAAGATGTTTATTATGTATTTGATTATGTTTATTTGCAGTTAATTACACGAATTCAAATATGGAGCTTTAATAAGTTGTACTTATGTACAATCTACTTGGAATCTTGAGTTTTAAGTAATATGCATTAATAAACAGTACTTTACACATAAAAAGTGGTTTTTAAGATTTTTTTTTTATCAAATGCTTTATATTATAGTATAGATATGCTAAACAACTCATTGTATTGTATCTATCATTATAGCACATCAGGTTGTTAGGATGTTCAATAATGGGATTTTAAGGGGGTGTTTGAAATTGCTTATAAAAATAATTTATTGACTTATTCCGGTGTGACATTGGTAATAACCACTTTTGAGTGTTTGGATAAACAACTTATACCGGTGTCAAACCAGTAATAAATAGTTTTTGAAGAAGGTAAATGTTTTTTGACTTGTAATAAGTTTATAAATGTCTTTTGTAGAAAAACATAAATTGTTTCAAATAAACAATCACAAATACCTCTAAAATACAAATAGGTTCTATCAACAAATTTTGGAAAACCATTAATTCAATAAAGAGCTAAATTCATCTATTTATTATTTTTAAGTTTTTATACCAACACTTGAAATTCTATAAATAAAAAGCAAATACAATTTTTTCCAAAAATTATCATATAAATATATTAATAACTTACTTTTTGTGTCACGATATAAAGTTAACAAGAGTTCTTTTAAATTCATTTGATTGCACATCACACCCCACACTTTCCTTTTTCTCTTTTAAATATGTATGACAAAGTAACAATTGTAACTGGTTATTCGATTACTAAATTCGGGATGGTTTTTAAATTATGATGGTAACTTTAAGGGTTTGACTTGGTTTAAATGTTTAAATATTTTAAGCTATTAAAAACAATCCTCACCGTCTCATCTGTTAGAAATAAGAGTATTATGAGATATTATAATTTTATCTCGTAAGAATTTGGGGAAGTTGGTGAAAAAGTTCTGTGTGTTTTGTTCTAGAGCTCGAATAACAGAATCAAGAGGAGAAAGTTAGTAGAACAGTTTCTGTAATTATTTTGTCTGGATTAGTTGTCATTCATTTCCATAATTTCCTCTCTTTGTGAACTAAATGGTTTTAATTTTACCAACTTTCCTTATTTAAAAAATTGAGTGTAGAACCGTATGGTTCTTTATATGAGTTGTTGATTATAAAACTGTTTTGATACTATAATTAGCACAATTGTATGTTTTGTTATGATTATTTCATTGTTGGAATAAGAGTGGTATATCAAGGAAATGTGTATAATGGGATAAATGTGACATATCAACGAGAGGTGTATATCAGGATAAGGGTAGCAAAATCATGAGTTATAAAATCTGGGTTTTGATCAATACTCATAATTATCTTAGAGTTGTTGCGTATGTGTGATGTGATAACTTAAAGTTGTCGCATCCTATTGATGCGATGAAGTGTGGTTATCGTAGCAGTGTGATGCAACAAGTTGACTTGTCTCACCTATATGATGCGACAAGTTGGGTTTATTGCGTGTGATGTGATAAGTTGATGTTCTCGCACTCATGTGTTGCGAGGAAATGAGTTTGTCTCACCCATGTGATACGAGAAATTTATGCAATCTTTTATATGATGCGACAAGTTTTACTCATAACGTGTTTATCGAATTATTGGGTATTTGAATAAAAACATTTTAGTCAACCGTACACGTCTTAGTTAGTAAGTTCAAATAAATAAATAAATAATCTTTTTTATTAAAATATTTATCAAAGTTTTGTTATGAAATAAGAAAAATATATCTTTAGTTTTATGTAACTAGAAGTGTACTCGCGTAATACAACGAAATACATCGTGATTTTAATATTTCATTTTATTCTTTATCTCAGTCGATGTTATAATATGACTTTATGTGATTTTGAGAAAGCGATGATGTT